ACTAGAGAACACGAGGGGCCCTTCTGTTTGCCAATCCTACACGAAAGAAAAAGGAAGAACTTTCCCAGGAGGTGACACTGGGAAGAGGAAATACACGGTTTGGCAATGCCAAGTTTGAACAGGGCCGCCTCTTCCTGTTCTCTCCGGCATCACCACCACCCACCCTCGGCACTTCCACCTTCCTCTCACACACTGTTTGGAAAGCAACCCTATGGGTCCTGGTTACTTTAAATCCCATCACTAGAGGGATCTAAGAGAAAACAATATTTTATTTTTAATTACAGGACAGTCAAAATAATAAAGAAATATTTTAGCTATTTATACACTAGCAAGCCCCAATCCTGAGCTGCTAACTTAGCTGTTTAGCCCTTTGGCATTGTCTTATATTTTTCTAGGAGCAGAGGTTATCAAGCCTTGGGCCCTTGCTGAACTTCTGAAACCCACACCAAAGCCAGAAGGAAAGCCCAGGCTGCTCCCCCACCTCCAGCACCAACGCCTGGCAGGCCCTGCCATGTGACCAGGGGCGAGCTCGGAGCACTCCCCAGGCTTAGAGGAGTCAGAGGCCTCTCTGAGGCCCTTCCCACTGAGAATGCTTGGAATCTGCCCCATAGTAGAACCATCTCTTGGGGCACTTGCTCTCATGGATGAAAACTTCATGAGGCAAATAGCATTTTTGCAGCATGACAGTTAAAACCTAAACTAAGTAGAAAGCAGGCCGAAATCCTGGAACACATGTCTCACAACGTCCTGAATATTTCTCACTATATGGCTCCCATAAACACCATCTGTTGTGCTAATTTGTAAAGAATTACAAGGTTCTTAAAATTACACTTTGCTCTCTGTAGCGTACACTGTGTCTATTAAGGGGGAGAGTTGAGAATGCACATCACATCCAGTCAGACACTGAGATCTTTTTCCTCCCTATGCTGGGATCTCACCGAAAGTTTGCTACATCTGTGTGGAATTTTAAGAAGTGCATTTCATTCTCTTCAGACCAGCTGTAGGAAAAATACAGAAAATAAAATACATACAACACCTTTGCTTAGATCATAATCCTAGCATCTTATATGCTTTCGAGTTGAGTACACATCTGCTTTACTGGACCCTCATTGACAATGCAAAGTCCCTAGCTGTAAGTCAGAGAGAGTGAAGAGACAAAATAGAACATCGTAGGTGAGATGTAACTCTCCCTTGCTGACTCCCGGCCTCTAGGGCCTTCTGAAAGCCCTTGAGTGTTGCATGAGAGTATTCCCCGATTGCTCATCCCTGTCCACTCACAAAGCCAAAAAAGTGACAGCTTTTCCCAAACACACATGTCCACAATCAGAGCCATAATGGCAGGCTGCTAATATTAAGTCAATATAATTCACCTTAATATCAATTTAAGGTGAATTAAGTCCCTAAGGGTTTGCTGGTTAAATGGTGGTAAATGGTGGCTAGAAATGAAGCAAATAGGAGAGTCCTAGTTGGGCTTGATGATCCTTTGCCTAGGAGCTGTCAATACAAGATGATTGTTAAAATGAAGATGCCTGGGTCTCCACCAAGAGATTTCATTCAATAGCTCTGGAGTAGGCTGGATGTTTTCATTTTTTATGAAGCATTTTAAAAATTGCAGACAAGTTCTGGAAATACAGGGGTGGAGCAATTGCTTTCCACCCAACTAATCACTTGATTAAGATCTTTCTGATTTTGGCCCTGTAATCTGCATTTTCAGTTTTCCATGAAATTCTGTTAATCAGCCTAATTTGGAAATTATTGAGTTTTGCAACAATTTGCTGGTATTAAGCCTGAAACAGGACCAAAGATCCACAGTTAAGGCAATTCTGCTTAATTTTTGATGAATTTATCAGTTTCAAAAATATAAGTTTCTAAATAAAACCAGTTAATTAGAAAAGAAAAGCTATACTGCCTGAGAAACCAAAACAACAGAGAGTAGATACAGCCTGCCACAGGATTTCATAAAAACTGCTTGCACTAAGAAAAAAAAAGTTAAACCAGCTTCCCCAAATTCCTGGTCTGGTGTTATCACAGTCACGTGTGGACGTCCAAATAAGGCCAGCTAGATGCATGGACAAAGTTAAAAAGGAGACTACTAATCTCGTTAAAGCACAGAGAGCTTAAGAAAATTTTGCAAGTGTGTGTGCACATATGTGCACGCACACATACACACACATACACATAACACATCCCAGGGTCTTCATTCAGACAGTATTTTAGACCTTCTTCTGAGAAAAAAAAATATTGAAACAGGTTGACAGTAACCCCTAAATTGTTTGGTGTTACATTTGCTAATTGTGTGTATAATACCGTAAGTAAAATTAAAATTCTGTAATCATGTTTGCATTGAGTGTGTGTGTATATGAACATGCATATTTGTGTGTGTGTGTTGAAAGTTCATCAGCCATTATCTCTTAACCGTATGGGCACTCTCTCCACTAGCAGTGTGTGAATTCTATGAGAGGAAGACCACATCTTCCTGTATCAGGGCAATGTCCCCAAAAAGAATTTCCTTTGTACTCAAGAAAGCCATGTAGTTAGTGGCAGGATGACGGTACTTCCGTCGGATAGTGGCACTCAAAGAATGTTATTGCCAAGCTTCCCTGGCTGAGTGGACCATAGGACACTGGTGAAGGTAAATCCCAAAATCTTAGTCCTTCCAGAATCTAACACTGACCTGTTTATTTTAACCCAGAACTATCTATTTTGGCATGGGCAGCCATGGAAATCCACAGAAACAGCTCCAAGGGGCATCTTAGCCTCCTTGGGCTTATGACACTAAGAACTGTGAGTGAGGAGAGATATATTCTTTCATAAAGCAATCAGTGTTATCTTATTCTTACATAAAATTAAATTGCAAATGTAATTCACAGTCCATACCCACCACCAGCCCTTCCTGTGCTTGCCTTCTCCCATGCTTTCCTTTTCTTCAAAGAATTTAAGAAGTAGACACAAAGAGTATTAGATATTAGATTATATCCTGGCTCTGATACCTACTTGCTGTACAGCCCTTGGCAATTCATCTAAACTCACTAACTCTTAGTCCTCATCTATGGAATATTAAAAATAATGTCTCACTCAATATGGTGATGAGATAGTGCATGCATATGTCTATGTCTGAGTCTAGCATGAAAATAGTATCCAATCAAGAGATTGCTTACCCTGATGTTTTTTCTCTTTTGAAAGTCCACTTCTTATGGAAAGGTTCAGCATCTGAACCATGAGTTGATGCAAGATGGATGCATTGAATGTTTAGGGACAGTGTTTTACAGGCTGATCTGAGTTTACCAAGACTTGTCATTTGAAAATCTTTTAACATCTGAGTGGTATTTAACACTCATAAACTGTTCAGTATCTTAAGGTCCATTATGATACAATTCAAATGTAAAAGGAGAACCAGACACAGACCCTGAAATTTCACTAGTAATTCTTGGTAAAGAATTCAAACTCCACCAACTGTAGTTTCTTATGTTCATGAGAGATGGGGAGCAAATCCTGGGACTGATTCCTCTTTTTCAGGCCCATGCATGGATAATGAAATTGTTATACCACACTTCACAGATGATTCAAATCAAACTGTGCATCTAAACCTAACTGCCAGGCAGAGGGAGATCCTCCGAGCAGCACCAGGGGACTCTATTTCAGTTACCCTCTTTGGTATGCCAAAGAAGGGATGGCCTTGCTGAAATGAGGAAGCCAAATTCAGGCCTGCCATGTCTGTTTCACACCGACAGATAGCCTGTGAGGGGGGACTGGAGATTACATACACATACTCAGTAAGTAGGGGTGTTAGGCAGGAAGACAGATATGAGCAGGATGAAAAGACGGTAGGGACCACCAAGAACTCAGGGAGTTAATCAGATAAAGCCAGAGAGCCAGAGATAACTCAGAGGATTAATTAAATGAGACCACAGGGACCGGGAGTGACTTGAAGGGCACAGACACGTCCCAGATAAGAACTCCCCAGATGACAAAAATCCCCCAATGAAAAACGTCATAGCACAGCCCATGTCTTCAATCCTCAAATCGGATCAAGCCCCCAAGGCCAAAGAATGTCAATCAGGGACTTCTCTGTCCTGCCAAAAACCCCATACAAGCAGCCTCACAGCAAGCAGCCTGCTTTTGTCTACCTTGACTCTGGCCCGCTCCTCCCTTGGAGTGCATTCAGATAAAACTTTCATTCTGCTTCGCTACTGTGTTTCTGCCTTTCAATTCTTGATTGCAGCAGAGACAAGAACCGAGCAGAATAAACTCAACCCATAACATATCCACTGGAATGCAAAGCCTAGAGATCGTTAGAAAATTATTTTAATTCATTTATGACAACTCTCAAAGTTCCTGCTAAACTGCCAATAAAATTGAGAAAGACCCTGAGAAGATTATTTGCTTACTGGTTTTACATCTGTTTCTCCCATTAGAATGTAAACCATGGGATTAGAATGTCATCTGTCTAGCTTACCTGTGTACGTTTCACTAAGTCCAGTGCCCAGTGCATAGATTCTTGGGGAGCCAATGACATAAGATGGTTGTCATTATGGAAAACATAAGAAAATTTATCTCTGAACAGGACAGAAAGGTAGGGCAGAAACTTCTGTGTGGCGGTTGAGTGAAGGAAGCCGGAAGAGTTAAAAACAAATTCTGGTCCTGTGGGAAATCCATTTATCAGGGGAAATAGGATTTAGAAACAAGACATATTTACAACACAAAATAAAAAAAACTGAGAGGGAAAAATCAAATAATCATAGGGATATCAGGAAGGCCAAAAATGAAGAAAAACAAGATAGTCACATAGCTGAAGGCAAAGGGTAGCTTTACCCAGGGGCCTGAGGACTCCTGTGTTGGGGTGGGTCCAAAGTAGGAGCTGCCACCGGGACAGAATAGCAGGCCAGGGATCCAGTCGCTATTCCTGAGGCAAAGGGACTAATAGGTGGCCAAAGAGAAGTCAGAAACAAGGCACCAGAAGGGAGGTTCAAGTCTGGAGTAAAATCAGCAGTAAGTCTGACCTGAGGACGGATCATCATGTTAGGGATCGTCCAGGCTGTTCATTCCCTGTGCAGAAGCCAGACTGGCTCTGAGCTCAGTGCTGCCCGGGAAATCTGCCCGTCTGCCCCAGCCGCGTGTGAACTGGCCCAAGGCCAGGCTTACCACCCCCAGCTTTGCACCTCCTTCCCTTCTCTTCCTCCCTATCCAGAGAGCTCCACAGGAACCCTCACCCGCTGGAGAGCCCCCCACTCCACACCGATGCCCCTTCTCCAGGGCTACCCCAGCCCTCTCACTGCCTTCTTTCCCTTGTGATTAATCAAGGCCTGCTAAGTGGACACAAAGAAAAAACAAAAACCACACACACACACACACAGACAAAAGAAAGAGAAGAACTACTAAACTGATCTACACTAAGTATAGTCTCAGTAGTCCAACTTTAGGTTCTTAAAATTAGTGACTCCAGGGGCAAGACCATCAAGCACTGGAGCAGGCTTCCATGCCCAGTGGCCTGGGTCAGGGTACCATTTGTACACTGCCGATCACCCCAGCCAGACTGACCTTTGTCTCCAGACACCCTTGGGTCAGCCACTACAGTCCTTTTCAGACAATAGATCACTCTGGCAAATAACAAGTATTTATGGAGCATCTACTTGATGCTGAGCCCTGAAAAGGGGTGATATGAATTGAACTGTGTCCCCCACAAATTGATATGTTGAGATCCTCCCCCAAGATGTAATATCTAACTAAGAATGTTACTGTATTTAGGGATCGGCTCTTTAGAGAGATAATTAAGGTGAAATGAGGCCATCAGGGTGGGCCCTAATCCAATATGACTGGTGTCCTTTAGGAAAAGTCAATTAGTCAGAAAAAACACAGGAAAAAAAAACGTGAGAGAGATCATGGCCATTTACAAACCAAGGAGAAAGGCCACAGATCAAACCCACCCTGAGGACACCTTGATCTTAGATTTTTAGTCTCCAGAACTACAAGAAACTAAATTGCCATTGTTAAAAACTCCAGTCTGTGGTACTTCGCTTATGGCAGCCCTACCACATTCACGCAAGGTCCAACAGGAAACACCAGTATAATGATGTTGAGGCTTTGACTTCCTATTAAAATACATGCCTGATTCAGGCTGACAAGAAGTCCAAGCGAGCTGAGGTGAGGGCAGGAGGCAAGATGTGACTGTCTTCAGAAATCCTAATTGGTTTCTCAGACAGCTGTTCAGTTTTTCACAGCACAAGGCCTCTATCAGTCAGTTCCTCTGATTAAGGAAAGGGCCCCCCCATCTCTTCCAACAACGGGAAAATAGGTTTCCCAAGTTTCAGAGCAGATTTCTTGCTCTGGTTTCCTTGGTCTTTCTCAAGCTCTTCAAAGAGTCCTGCAGCTCTTACTGAAAACTGACCATTATCAGATGCACGGTAGATAAAACTGGCAGCTATAAGATGCTAGACAGATAGACAGCCATTTAAAGCAATCTTCCTAATAGGCTCTTGCACATTTCTCTTCACAAAACAGCCAAAGACAATTTAATCTCATGTTTCCTCACACTTTAATTCAGATACAAATGTGATTTCTGTTCTCTATGCGAAAGTTTGCAGGTGCTTTTAAGAAGCCTAAATAAGATATTTAAGTCATCATATGTTGCCTGTTTTCTTACTGGTAACTTTTATTTTCCCCGGTGTCCTCTCAGAGTTCCCCTTTGCCATACCTGGTAATTCAAGCATGCAGCTGATACCTGTGTACTTAAGACACTACGGCAACAGCTCACATGTTGACTAATGGGTGGAACAAAATCCATTTGAAGCTGGATTGTGGCTGAACTTTCGGACCTGATTCATTTCACTCCACCGACTAGCATAGAGAATCGTCACGGTGCTAGCAGTGAGGACACTGCAAGACACTTGTGGTCTTCCTGCATGGAGTTACAGTCTAGAGCATGGTTTTGTGCCCTCCACACTATTGATATTTTGGGCCAGATAATTCGTTGTTGTGAAGGCTGTCCTCTCATTGTAACAGAGCCGCATCCCTGGCCTCTACCAGCAAGATGCCAACAGCACCCCTCCCCTCAATTATGACATCCGAAAACATCCCTAGACATTGCTAAATTTACCCTGGGGAAGGGAACAAATTGCCTACACTTGATAACCGTTATCCTAATGAGAATGATAATTTGAAAAGCTATTATAATTCATTGTGTTAAGTGCTGATACCTGTAACTTTTTGAGTATTTACAATATCTTTCTGCAGATGCTATAAGTCCCAAAGGGTAAAGATCATGCAGACATCAGGACTGAAATGTAAATATATTCCAACACAGCCCTTGACACTGATATGGTCTCTGAGGTTCAATCAAATTCTAACCTGATACTGTGTGATATCTTCCCAAGGTGTATGGCTTTCTATGAATGTGTCAAGTCTTTAGAAGTCACTGTTGTATGCATTTACATTTGCTAACATGGATTTCCAAGTTACGATGAACAGTCTGAGCAAACTGATAAATATCTTGGAAGGGAACCAAATAAATTGTGGTTGTGTAGTGTTAGTAAAAAAAAGAAAAAAAGCTGCTTCCCCAATGAAGAAATATAAAATAAAGACACACAATAGCTACTTCCTGAGTATTTAGTATGTGTTAAGCACTAGACTTTGATTTCTCAATTTGTTCTTAAAAAAATGCTCCAATGTTAACCATGTGACAGGTGTGATCAAAGACAGAAATGAGCCTGTTTAACACCCAAAGAGTAAGGGATGGACCAAGGATCTAACCTGGGTTCTAACCTCAAGTCTGGCTAACTCTTCAGGAATGGAGAAATTTTAAGAAAAATAAAACTTGCTACATGACAGCTAAGGTAGCCCACAGACTTAAAACAGAACAAAACACTGCTCTAAATGTTAAGCTTGCACAGGAGTTTGAGACACTAGGTAAATGTATTGTTGAAAGAATTTAAATTGGAAATTGGTTTAAAGCAGTAAGTAGAGGTTCTATGGGAGAAGCTCTGGGCTTCTACAGCATCTGTCCTGTATTGTGAGAGTTCACAGATTCGCCTTGGTCTTCAGGAGTCTCTAGACACCCACCTGCCAACTAATTACCATCCACAGAGCCAATCATCTTATATCTGTACAAATTCTCTTCACAGATAGGGTAACAGTACCTTCCAACTGGCTTCCAGTGTCCCAGCACAATTAGTAAAAATGCCTCCTCTCACTCTGAAAAGTACCTCAATTTGGATGAGAAGTTTTATGATCACCTTATTAGTCTAATTAAGTCTTGAGTGGAAAAATTATTAGACCAGCTATTTTATGTTATCAGATTCACTGTTTGAGAATCCAATTCATTATTTGATGGATCTCTTTAATACATACATACATACATGTTACTCCACTCACCTGCCTAAAATCATCTAAAGCTCACCTAACATCTACAAGATAACATCTAAGAAGGTCCTAGCCAATTTGACCTCAGTCTGGGTCTCCAGTCGTATCTCCCATCCCTGTGCCAGCCCCATGTATTAGTCACTCTTTTCTCAACTAGGTGGTGTTTTCAGGCCTCGAGGCTCCTCCACGTGTCATTCTCAATGTTTGTGTTCCTTCCAACAGTTTGTTCAATACCAGTGACCGCTGTGTGAGACCCTGCATGGACTTTCCCTTCCCTCATCACCTGCTTATTGAAGATCTTGTCCAAATGTTATTTCTGCAAAGAATTCCTCATATCCTCAGACATGAGTTGCTCTTTTTTGGGTGCTTGCACTGCATTCGGTCTACCCTTCTGATTATGGCTCTTGTCATCATATAATCGCAGGTTCCTGTGTCTGTGCCATGTTCATTATTAGAATGTCATTGTTACCTTTCTATCATTAATGCCTAGCACTTCCTGGCACTCAGTGGACATCTGACACGTATTTGCCCATTAATGACTACCACCACCAGTCACTGCTAAAATCAGAATTGGCCACATTTTGGACAATCAATAGCAATTTACTGAGTCTGTACCACGTGGCCAGCATGTGGCATTGCTCTGTAATACATACAAGTAGGGGCTGAGACAGATAGCCAGGATATCTGTGTCTGACTTCCCATTTTGTTTCTTTGTCTTTCTATGAGACCAGGTAGGTCACTGAATAAATATATATATGACCACAACAAAATCTGGCAAACATATCAGCCAGTCATAAATCCTAAGTAGGCTAAGGATAGTTTGTGATATTTGGAATATGCCCCTTTAATTTGGAGTCTGGTTTCATAAAGAGAGAATATCACATCGCCTAAACCATCTGTATCATGTATGTGCCTTAAGAATAATCTATGCCGAAGATGGACTATCAGGCTAACCTGGCACTTCGAAGAGCTTTTTAAGTTCACTTTTTTCACCCAAATTAACCTACTTTCTAAATTAAATCAAAATTGTTAAAAATATAGAATCTGTGTAGACTGTTGTAAATTTTGGCATGCTCACAAGAAAATTTATAGAAAGAAGATTATACAGTGGGGATTGTCATTACAGTGTAAGACAACTCCTGTCCTCTAAATGCTTCCTATTACTACTAATAATTTTGAACTATATTAACTAAAATGTGTACAGCATTTCACGGTTCATGAAGTACCTTTTTCTATGCATTATTTCATTTTAATCCTCAGAACAACCTGTAACTTAATGAGTATTTACAATCTCTCTCTGCAGATGCTACAAGTCCAAAAGGGTCAAGATCATGCAGACATCAGGATTGAAATGTAAATATATTCCAAAACAGCCCTTGACACTGACATGGTCTCTGAGGTTCAGTCAAATTCTAAACTGATACTGTGTGATATCTGCCCAAGGTGTATGGCTTTCTATGAATGTGTCAAGTCTTTAGAAGTCACTGTTGTGCGCGTTTATGTTTGCTAACATGGATTTCCATTATGATGATAACAGTCTGAGCAAACTGATAAATATCTTGGAATTCAACTGTTAAACATCACTAATGTGGACTTGCAGCTCAACTACTAGAAGTCTAAATACAGTCCCATTTCAAATTAGCACATTGTTAGGAAGCTCAATAGAATAGATGCTATA